GAAGGACAATGCGGTTGCTCGGTGGCGGCAGGGGGGGGGGGGGGGGGGGTAGCCCCACTGCAAGGGTTAATCTTTACAATTCCTGCAGTTCCTCTTTAGTTATGTCTCATTATATAAAACTGCTTAATATTATTTCTTAAAGGAGCCGTGTCTTTTCTTTCAGCTATCGAGTGTCAGGGTCCAGCAGGGACCGAATTCATCACCAGCTTCTTGCAGAATGGGGCGAATGGCTTGTCTGGCCAGAAGTGTCTTCTTCGCATTGGCGGCCTTCATGATAACACCACAGTCAACGTCAATGTCTTTGGGAGCACCTTCAACACAACCTTTCAGATACAAAATAAAAATGCGGTGACTCTGACTCTTCCAGAAACCACGGAGGTTAGAGGAAGTGGGTTTTTTACAAAAACAGTCTACATCAAAGCGACCCATCCCATCGTCGTCCTTTCGCTTCATGAAAAATACCGTACAGCCGAGACAACACAGTTGCTCCCTCTGTCCAGTCTGGGGAAAGAATATTACTTATTCACCCCCAAAACTGGATCTTCAGGTTCCTCTAAAGTGTTCTCCTTGCTGGCAACTGAAGAAACCACTATTGACATTTACCTCAAAGGATTTGTCCAGTTGAATGGGAAAGGATATAAACCGAATACTGTCATTAACATAAAATTAGCTTCTATGCAAGGGGTTCAGGTTCTCAGCCCAGAAGATCTGTCAGGTTCTAAAGTGGTGGCCAACAAACCGGTGGCCGTGTTGAGTGGGCACACTTGTGCCCAAAAAAACACCAACTGTAACCATGCCTTTGAGCAACTCCCGCCTGTGTCTGGCTGGGGTAAGAGTTACATTGTGGCACCTGCTTCTGTTTTATCAGAGAAGAGGTCAGACACAGTCTCTATTATTTCCGCTGGTCCCACCGAAGTGACCTACACCTCTGGTGACAAACAAGAGAAGACAAATATGGTGGCGGGTCAGGTCCTAGAACTTGAATTGACAAACGAGCCATTGAAAATTGAAGCAAAAAATGAAGTACAAGTCATTTTCCTCAGCTCAGGTGGAAAGGAGAGAAGGTATCAGTATGACCCTTTCATGATGAATGTCTTAGATGTCGATAGCTACTGCTCTTCCTATGCCATATTTGGACAACGAAGCATCGACAACTATTTTACTATAATAGCCGAGAATGATGCAATGGAAGGCATCACTATTGACGAGAAAAGCCTTAGTAAGCCCGAGTGGAAGTCAATCCCAGGAACAAAATTCAGCTGGCTTGAGTACAATTATGGAAATTCTGCAACCTCTCACAGAATTGAACACGCAAGTAGAAAATTTGGCCTACAGAGTTTCGGGATCAGTGCAATGTACAGCTATGGGAATATAGGAGCCTGTGTGAAAGGTACTTTTTAAAGGTTCATATTGCCTGCTTTAACTTTGAATGTTTTTGAATTTAATGGGAATCTATAGCCAAAAGTTTTTCTTTTTTAGTTGGACAGAGTAGTTTTTTTTGGGGGGGTATATACATTGATCAGCCATGACATTATAACCACTGAGGGGTGATTAAATGACATTGATTTTGTCATTTCAGTGGCACCTGGAAGTGGTGGGATATATTTGTCAGCAAGGGAACATTTTGTCTCTGAAGTTGATGTGCTTGGAAGCAGAAAAAATTAACAAGTGATTTGAGTAGCTTTGACAAGGGCCAAAGTGCGAAAGCTAGACGACCGGGTCAGAGCAACTCCAAAAATGCAGCTCTTGTGGGATGTTCCCAGTCTGCAGTGGTCAGGACTGACCAAAAGTGGTCCAAGGAGGGAAAACCAGTGAATCAGGGACAGGGTCATGGGCGGCCAAGGCTCATTGATGCACGTGGGGAGCCAAGGCTGGCCCATGTAGTCCCATCCAATAGAAGAGCTAATGTAGCTCAAAGCGCTTATTACCAGATGTGACAGCATACCTTCAGAGGTCTAGTGGAGTCCATGCCTCCATATGTCAGGGCTGTTTTAGTGGCAAAAGAGTGAACGTTGACGCAGATCTGCAGACCTTCTCAGTTCAAATCAAGAACGATAATCGTGGAAATGCCCAAGTCTCTTACGTAGGGCAAGTCACATTACAAACAGGTGGCCATACCATTGTGGTCAAGAAAGGAGAATATGGCTATGTGAGGGTGAGTATTGCTCTTGTTTCCAGGGTCAGATTTATGTTTTTTTTCTATTTCCTTGACTTCCTTATTTATCTAATGCTATCCCCCTTCAC